AATGGCCAGAATGCTGCCTGGAACTTGTCCAGCCCAGCCCAAGTCAGCTGCAGTCTGTCTCCATTAGGGCGAATGAAGTTGTTGGGCACAAAGACGACTTACCTTTAGGAGTCAGAGTTCAATAAGCATGGTGAGAAAGAATAAAATCCCTTTGAATTAATCTCTAATGTTATTGACATAGAAACAGGTGACTCTCAAAATTAATGTTTCAAATGAGTAAACTTTTACTTTTACTTTATTCCCAGAAAAATTGTACCCAGCAAGCCCCCAAGAGAAGGGTGGGAAAAGAAGACAAGATGAATGAGCTCAGCAGTGGTGAGACATGTATTGTAACAAGGCCAGAGATGATCTGGCCACTGCCTTTCTCAGACAGCATCTGTGAGGTACAAGCAGGGAAACAAAAGTTACCAAGGGGTGTGCTGCCTGACTTACCTGTTCAAACTCCACCTGCTCTTTCCCACCTGCAAAGAAAGGAGGTGGTTTTAGAAAATTTTATAGAACTTTATAGTTTTATATATTCTGGAAATTTTATAGTTGAGTCAAGTGAAAAACAAAACAAAAACATTTTGTTTTGTCACCTGGAATCTTACCTTTTAGATTTCAGCCTCTTCAGGATCAGTCAATGTGTCATAATATTTTCTTACTGAGAAAAAAAATATGTGGAGATATGAATATTTTCTCCAAACATCTTAAAATACTTATAAAAACATTTTCACAGGAAAAGGGAACAACTGTTTTATAAAATGTTTTCAAAAGGAAAAAAATTTTATTTAATTTCTTAAACATTTAATACACTTTGGAAAGTGAGAGTGAAAATTACATGATGTTTATTTAGTCAAGGAAATGGACTCTGTCACTGTGACATCCTGTGTCAGTTTTCTATTGCTGTGTAACAAAATGCTACAAATTTAAAATACCATGGCTTAGAAACAACCATATATTAGCTCACAGTTCTGTAGGTCAGAAGTACAGGCATATGGTGGCCTGGGTTCACTGCTCAGAGTCTCACTGCACTGAAGTCAAGGTGTCAGCCAGGGCTGTGATCTCATCTGGGCTCAGGGTCCTCTTCCACACTCACTGGTTTTTGGTTTGAGGCAGGATTAATATGCAGTTGTAGGACTTAGTTTCCTATTTTCCTACTGGTTGTGGGCTGAAGGGTTCTCAGCTCCTCCTGGCCACCCTTCTTCATATGCAGTTCAGAAAGTGAGGAAATGCTTGTTTTTTCCAGGCCACCTATGTGTGGAAAACCCTAAAGGCTCCACACAAAAACTACTAGAGCTGATTAAAGAATTTGGAAAGGTAGCAGGATATAAGATTAACATACAGAAATCAGTTGCATTTCTTTACACTAACAATGAAATATCAGAAAACGAAACTAAAGAAACAATCCCTTTTAAAATCACATCCAAAATAATACTTACGAATAAACTTGACCAAGGAGGTGAAAGACTTATATGCAAAGAACTACAAAACATTGATTAAGGAAATTAAAGATGGTTTAAAGAAATGAAAAGTTATCCCATGCTCTTGGATTGAAAGAATTAATGTTGTTAAAATGGCCATACTACCCAAAGCAATCTACAGATGTAATGTGATCTCTATCAAATCACTCAGGACATTTTATACAGAACTAGAACAAATAATCCTAAAATTTATATGAAATTACAAAAGATGCAGAATTGCCAAAGCAATATTGAAGAAGAAGAATGAAGCTGGAGGAGCAACCCTCCTAAACTTCAGAAAATCCTACAGAGCTACAGTAATCAAAACAGTGTGCTATTGGCACAAGAACAGACATGGATAAATGGAACAGAAAAGAGAGCCCAGAAATAAGCCCAAACACTCACAGTCAATGAATTGTCAACAAAAGAGGCACAAATCTACAAAGGAGAAAAGACAGTCTCTTCAGCAAGTGGTGTTGGAAAACTGGGCAGCCACATGTAAATCTATGAAATTAGAACACTTTTTCACACCATACACAAAAATAAACTCAAAATGGCTTAAAGACTTAAATATAAGATAATACAGTACAAACATCTTGAAAGAAAACAGACAAAACATTTTCTGACATAAATCTTAGCAATGTCCTCCTAGGGCAGTCTACCCAGGCAATAGAAATAAAAGTAAAAATAAACAAGTGGGACCTAATTAAACTTATAAGCTTTTGCACAGCAAAAGAAACTATAAACAAAACAAAAAGGTAACCTACGGAATGGGAGAAAATATTTGCAAATGATGTAACTGACAAGGGCTTTATTTTCAGAATATATAAACAGCTCTTACAACTCAATAAGAACAACAATAACAACAAAAAAACAAACAACCCAATCCAAAATGGGCAGAGGACCCAATTAAGCAATTCTCCAATGAAGACATACAGGTGGCCAATAGACACATGAAAAAATGCTCAATATCACTAATTATCAGAGAGACGCAAATCAAAACTATAATGAGGTATTACCTCACACCAGAGTGGCCATCATTAAAAAGTCCACAAGTGATAAATGCTGGAGAGGCTGTGGAGAAATGGGAGCACTCCTACACTGCTGGTGGGAATGTAGTTTGGTGTAGCCACTATGGAAAACAGTATAGAGATTCTTTAAAAAACTAAAAATAGACTTATATGATCCAGCAATCCCACTCCTGGGCGTATATCTGGAGGGAATTCTAATTAAAAAAGATACATGTACCCCAGTGTTCACAGAAGTACTATATACAATAGCCAAAACATGGAAACAGCCTAAATGTCCATCAACAAATGAGTGGATAAGTAAGATGTGGTAAATATACAGTGGAATACTACTCAGCCATAAAAAATAAATAATGCCATCTGTAGCAACATGGATGGACCTGGAGATCCTCATTCTAAGTGAAGTAAGCCAGAAAGAGAAAGAAAAATACCATATGATACCGCTTATATGTAGAATCTTAAAAAAAAGACACAAATGAACTTATTTACAAAACAGAAACAGGCTCACAGACATAGAAAATAAATAACTTATGGTTACTAGGGAGGAAAAGGAGTGGAAAGGGATAAATTGGGAGTTCTAGATTTGCAGATACTGACTATTATATATAAAATAGATAAACAACAAGTTTCTACTGTATAGTACACGGAAATATAGTCAATATCTTATAGTAACCTATAATGAAAAAGAATATGAAAAGGATTACGTGTATGTATAGGTATGACTGAAACATGCTGTACACCAGAATTGGACACAACATTATAAATTGACTATACTTCAATAAAAAAGAAAAAAAAGATAACACGATGTTTAAGAGTATGGACTCTGGAGATGGACTGATGGCTCCACCATTCATTCACCAGCCATGTGGCCTTGGATGAGATGTTGAAACTTTACAGCTGATTATCTGAAATGGTAACCAATAGTAATATCTATCTCGCAGCATTGTTGTAACAACTAAATGAGTAAAGGTACGTAAGGCCTGTAGGAAAAAGTCTTATTTATATAGGCAGGAACCCATGAGAAACATTTGCCCGGAGCCCTGCACACTCTAAAGGTAGCCCTGGAACTAGAATTTTGGTGGGAATGAGGACCCCTGGAGAGAATTATGAAGTAGAGATGGTTATAGTAAAACATTTAGACACTCAGCTGAAACTTACAAGAAAGAGATCCATACTCCAAATATGCAGGAAAACAGGCAAAGAGGGCTCAATATTTGTGTTTCCAGGTATTTCTCTGAGTTTCACTCACAAAGGAGTGAAACCAAAATTGAATTCAAAGGGAGTTTTTTTCTGTGCACCTAACATTGAGATTTTATTTATTTGGGTCAGTTCCCAACTCAAATTCCTCACATCCTTCCTCTCAGAGTCAGAAAAATCAAAATTTACTGTGGCCTATGTGGTGTCCAAAAATCTGGTATCTCTCTGATCATGTCACCTACAACTCTGCCCACTCACTCGTTCACTCCGGCCTCAGTGGCCCTCATACAGGTCTTCAGAGAAGTTTGTTCCTTCATCAGAATTTGCACTTTCCTTTCCCTAGATATTCACATGGGCCATGCCTTCACTCCACGTGTATTTCTACCCCATGATGTTAGTTCTCAGAGGGTTCTTCTTTGACTGTACTACTACTCTCTCTCATGATATTTGTGGTCTGTTGTTTATCCCACCTACTAGAATGTGAGCTCCAGTAAGACAGAGCCTGCTCTTTGCACTGATGTTTCCCTTGCACCTAGAACTGTGACTGACACTCCATAGGTATTTGTTATGTAGATAAATTAGCAAATAAACTGAGAACAATTGGAAATATCCTAAATGTTTTATTTACAAGGGAATGCTTAAATATAGTATCATCTAGTACTATGTACACATGGAAAAGGATGAGGTTAAACTCTGTACTAAAAGAAAAGGCTGTTTGGGATACACTGGTAAGTTAAAAAAGCAAGTTACAGAATATAACGCATGTTTTGAAACTTTTTATGTAACATATGCACTAAAAGAATGTAAGGTAGTTGTCATGTATATGCTAGCATGTGCATTAGAAAAAGAACAGATGATTGTGCATTAATAGACTGACCTCTAGGGAATGGTATTGTGGGGGATGCGTTTATATTTTTTACTTTACGTATTTCTCTTTTGAAGTTTTGTAATCATACTTTTAAAATAATACATTTTGAGGTTTCACTCATAAAGTTCTTTGTTTCAAAGCAAGCAATTAAAAGAATAACATGAACAGAAATTATTGCCAAAGTAACTAGGAAAAAAATCTTAAAATGAAAGCACTCTGCTCAGTGCCTCACATAGAAAGGACTCAGTCAGTTTCACTGCATAAACCAGCACTCCTAACTGTCAAACTAGCTGGAGTTGGGAGAACCCCAGGTTCTCCTCAACATCTGCAAGATCTAGCTGTGACAACCCAGATCCTTGCTTTATGAAGGAGACTCACAGAGACTCAGAGATTAGAAATCAAAACTCTTAATTTTATAACTACAAGAGGTTTCAGGAGGTTTTTTTAAAAATGCAAGGCAACGTATTTATCATTTGTTTTTAAAAATTTTGTTTTTATTAATCATTTGTTTTTAATGAGGATAAAACAGGAGGATATTCAGTGTAAAAGCAATCTATAATAAATGTGAAAAACACAGAAAACAAGATTAGTCTTGAGGTAGTGGGTATCAGATTTTTCTTTCTATTAAAAAAAAAAGACCACTCTGTTTTCCCCTCCCTCTCTCGGATCCATTGTGCACTGTTAGGCAGTCAGCCTAGGTCCTCTCCCTGTGCTAGCTTTCATTTTTGGAGCTCAAAACTGTCTAAACATCTCTGGTAGCAATGATATGTGAAAGTATAAACTATAAAGAAAGAAATTATCATGGGGTTATAATTTCAGATACTCTGAGATTCAAGAGAGAGTCACTTTTTGTAAAGTCATAGTATTTTAAGAGATTACGAAAAGGGTGGCAAGCATGGAGGGCCCACTCTTGGTGCATATAAGAGATATATAAGGGACAGAATCAGGAGAGAAAGGCCAGAATACCATCGCACTGTTTGGGGCTGATGAAAAGGGAGAAAGCTTCCAAATGTTGAATTGCATAAAAGTTATCTGTCTTTTGGAGCACAGTTGCCTACTTAAACTTGATCTCCAACCTGCAGCTCACGCTGGGTACCTGCCAACATTCTGTGGCCAGCTTACGGATTGGAAGGCTACTTTGAGAATAATCTTAAGCCCTCCTTATATAAATAAAGTTCTTTTTAAATTTATTCTCAGGGAGGTAGCTTTGTCTACCTTTAAATGAAAAGAAAAGAAATGCAATATCTTAAAGAAAAATGACCTTTTAAGTATGTTTATGTAAGTATGGACATATTTAAGAGGTATGGAATGAAAAATGGATCTGACTATTAAAACCACATCAATATTCTTGAGAAATAGAGTGACAGGTAATTATTCTTGTTCATTCAATTGCTGCAACCGCCAAACTACTGTTTTTAATATTAAAAATGTGAAATAAACTTTGAAGCATTGACTCTAAACTTGAAAAATGTGAAATAAACTTTGAAGCATTGACTCTAAACTTAGTTCCACATCATTAAGGTGCATACATCTCAAGCTGGAGCTCATTTATTCATTTCATTTTGGTTTTGTGGCCAACCACTGCTTCAAACTGAATATCCTGTACACGATTTATAGCTGCCAAGGCACGTTCAGGAAGAAATCTGTATGAAAACAGAAGATGAAAAATTTTCAATTTAAAATCTTTGACAACCTATAATGAAAAAGAATATGAAAAGGAATATATATATATATATATATGTATATGTATGACTAAAACATTATGCTGGACACCAGAAATTGACACAACATTGTAAACTGACTATACTTCAATAAAAAAAATTAAATCTTTGACACCAGAGTACTTTTTTGTTGCCAGTTAAATGACCTTGAGAGTTATCTGGTTTGCATTTAATTTTCTTCTGTTCTTCCTCCTTTCCTTCACATCCACCTCTCTCTTTATGTGTGTGTCTTTAATATTCACAGGTCAAATATTATGCAAATATAAAGAAAGCACTGATATATATCACTCTTCTCACTGTCTCATCTTATATAAGTAAACTCTTAGATGAAATCTTACATGAGTAAAGACCTAAAAATGAAGGTCTGGGCTCACTGCTGAAACTGTCAGTGAATCCTAATGCTAAAAGTTTACAGAGTGACACCACCAGAAGGCATTCTATCCATCTCTCCACCTCTCCTTGAGTTTTTACTGAATATCTATTCTGCCCTCTATAGTAAGGTAGCCTAAAATACTTTAAAGACAGCTACTGCTTTTAAGGAGCTTACTGTCTTTGCTAAGACACTAAACACCAGACTCACACAGTATCACTGTTGAATTCTATAAAATGTTTAAGAAAGAAATAACACTCATTTCACACAGGTTACTCCAGAAAAGAGAAGAGAAAGGAATACTTTCCAGCTCAGTTTATAAGGTTAAGACGTATCCTGACACAAAAATCAGACAGACATTAAAATGCAGGGTTGATTTAATCTTTAAAATGAATCAGTATAATTCACCATATTAACAAACTAAAATGGGAAGGCCACAAGATCTTCTTAACATGTTCAGTAACAGCATTTGAAAAAATCCACATCTGTTCTTGATAAATATTCTCATCAAAGTAGTAATAGAAACGAACTTCCTCAACCTGATAAAGAGCCTCTATGAGAAAAACCTACAGCAGATATACTTAATTGTGAAAGACTGAACACTTTCCTTTTAAGATCAGGAACAACCCTTGGGCATGTGCTTTAACAAATCTTCTCTAACATTGCATGAGAAGTTCTAGCCACTGTGATAAGGCAAGAAATAAAGAACATACAGTTTGGAAAAAAGAAGTAGGAGTTTATCTATTTGCAGACAATATGATCATCTATCAAAAAAATCTGTTAGAATCTACAAAAAAGCTACTAGATGTGAGTTTGGCGAGGTTGCTAAATGTAGAACAAAATGCCAAAATCAAATATATACTAGCAACAAACAATGGGAAATAGAAATTTTTAAAAATGCCATTTGCAATAGCATCAAAAAACCCAAAATACTTTGAGATAAACCTGACAAAAAATGTGTGAGACTTGTGCACTGAAAACTACAAAATACTGTGTAGACATATTGAAAAAGGTGAAAAAATGAAAAGATATATTGTGTTCTTTGTGTTCTTGGAATGGAAGACTCAATATTGTTAATGTGTCCATTTTCCCCCAATTGATCTGTACGTAGATCTAATGAAGTCTTAATCAAAACACTAGCAGGTTTATTTATAAACCCTTTATTTTTAGTTAGTTCACTATTTTGCATTCTCTTTAAACTGTTTTTCCTTCAATTAGAACAGTCTCTGGCAAAGATTGGGTAGAGATGGTAGATGTAGTAGAGAAAATGAATCATTCTCTTTTAATAGATTGGGTAAGGCAATAGAGAGGAAACTTAACTGATCTCCTCAGGCATGGAGAATTCCCATGGCAACTTTCACACCTGAAAGACTCTCCATAATGATAGCTCTATTGGTGTTTTCATATTTTAGGTGTTTTGTTTGTTTGTTTGTTTTTTACTGTACTTACCTCTCCAGTGTTAGAGAGATATTGAGGTATGATGGAACAAAAATCATTTTCTTATTGGTAAGTATTCCATCTATCAAGCTTCTTGCAACTTCATCTGTCTCCAATACAGGCCAGAGTCTGTGATCAAAAAGGAAACGTTTGGTTCTCTTTGTTGTTGTTTTTAAATTAACGAAAGCAGGAAAGTTAACTTATCTTTTCACCAATTAGGATTTTTAAAGTTCCAGGATTCACTGCACATATGCTACCTGCCTCCCTGCTACCCATGCCATGTGACTGTTTTGTTATTACAATCTCATACTTTCACATCCAGTAGGTGTGTTTCATGGCTCACTCATTCAAAATATCAAAATGGTGGCGAGGAAAGAGATAGCAGAGGAGAAGAGGAGCCAAGTAAGGAAGAGTAGTGGGTAGGATTTATCACAGGGTGGAAAGGAAACATCTGACATCTTTCCTCAGGGCTTGTTGGATACAAGAAGAGAATCTTACAGCTAAGCATACTTGCTTTCTTGTGGAGGTATTCCATAAAGCTGAATTGTTTTGAGGGCATTTAATACTTGAGATTCACGGCTGAATTGCCTATGCTGCAGTTTCATGAGAGTTCAAGATATGCACAGGGAGTATTATTACAGTACAACTAGAGGGGTGACCCTGCTTATGCTGAAGACTGTGCATACATGGGTTCTTGAGAAGTAGTCATAACCACAGGCCTAGTGTAGAATGACCTTTAGTGCAAGATGATGACCGGAAATGAAAATGTCAATGGACTGAAACTGAAAGTTATAGTGTCTAGGCACAGGTGGAATGGCTAGTGAGTAAAAAGGTTGTGTAGAGGAGTTAAATAAGTAGTAACTGTTACAACCTCCTTCCCTGGGTATTCTGTGATTTACTGCAGATTGTTATGTGACTGAGGTTTCCGCGGCATCGCATGGCAAGTCAGTAGACAGTAATACAAATCAATAGTTTTCTAAATTACTGGGTACTGCCTCTTTCTTCCCTGATTTCGCCTACCTGGTTCTATCAACCCAGTCTCTGAGCCAACCCTGACATCCCTATATGGACATTTTAGCATTTGCCAAGGAAATTCAGAATCAGGTAGTCCAATTGGTGAGACCAACCCCAAATCGTCAGCACTGCCTGTGTCAGCCCCTGGGATCACCCCCAGGAACCCACACTACCCAACGTCACATTAGCCTTACTCTTCTCATCCGCTTTGCCTTCCGCGCTAGGAGATCTGTACTCTGGGAAAACACTAAACCTGAATGCTTACCAAGAAGATTTTTAATGGGCCCAATTTCCTATTTAGGAAAACTGAGCCCAGAGTCTCAACTGCATCGCAGAATTTACTTTCATATAGTATTGTGTACTTGTTAAGTAACTATGTTCTGACATAATTAAGAACTCCACTGCCAGGGAGCAGCTACAGTTCCAGAGACGACACAGCTGATTTAGAGTTTCAGAGTCAGTAGCTTCAGATGAGGCTGAGCTTAAAAGGGAGTTTGTTAGCTCCCTCGAATAACTATATTTTGGACTAATTCCATTCCAGTAATAAGTTGGCTTCAAATTAGCAAGCTTAGTATATTTTGTTAACCTGCAGCAGAATGTATGCTAGAATTGAGGCAAATTTGTGAAGCAGGTGTCTTAATTTTAGGGCCCTTGTCCTCACCTTTCTGCCTTTTTCCTTTCAAGACCAACTTCTCTTTTATGGTTTCAAAATCCTCCCTTACCAGAGACAAAGTACTTGCAGAAATTCACCTTGACTAAGGGCTTAGGAAACTCAATTTATTGCAGCTCCTAGGAACATTTGTACTTTTAAGAGGGGCAAGGTGAGAACAGTGATCAAAACTCATGTGGTTATATTTACAATGTCAATGTTTTCCAAACCTTTCTCCAGGCTTACCTGGTATGTCTGTAAACAAAGCAAAACTGAACACCTCATTCTTGGAGCGCATTCCAGCCTAGTGAAATCAGAATCTCTAAAGAAGAGCCTATGAACTTTTTTTTTTAAGCATAGGTGATGATTCTTAGGATCAGGCAAGTTTGGAAAATATTGGAGTACTTTACGCCAGCTTTGTGACCAGTGCTGTGGAAGATGGAAAAGGTACACATATGTGTACATCTTCATACCCTGTTTAAGGAGGATGAATCACGAATGGGGAAGGGGGGTGTTAGGTACCATTTTGGGGGGGTGTTTCCAGGAGAGGACACTCTTACCACCCCCTGAAGCACACTCCTCTCTATCCTGCCCACCTCCATTCTCACTCCCTCAGCACTTGAGTATATGCTGAAACTTTCACCTAGACACAAATGGATACCCAGTTGACTAATTCATTGGCAGCTAATCATTCCTGCTAGTCCCTGATGCACTTATCCCCTTTGTTCATATAATTTCAAAGTGAAAACGTAAAGGCAGTACAATAACATTAAGAAAAAATATTTTTCCTTTTTTTTCTATTTTCTTGGTTGACCCACCTAAAAATGTCTCATATAGTTTTCATACCAATTTCTTATGCCATGTTTCCACCCTAGCTTGATTTTGACCTCACCTTGTGCTTGGGTTTTTAGTGAACCCGGTATTCACAAAAACTGGGCAGAGACAAGAGGTTTTGATACCAGTTTTTCCCAAGGCTTGAAGTTCTGATGTCAGAGCTCTGTGGAAGCCAACAGCAGCAAATTTGCTAGAGCTGTAAGCGAATTACCCACAGTTAGTGAAGGAAAAGCTTTCTGTGAGAAGGCAATGTTGATTAGGTTTGGGAACAAGTAAAAGCCAAACCCCCAACATCTTTGACTTGGTCACCAATTTTCATTTACATTTTCTTATTTGATTTCACTGAATTCTGCATGTACAAATTTCTTTGTTAACAGTAATAACAGTAGAACAAATCGTCATAACTTTTATTGACTGGCTTACTGCTCACTTTTCCAGGTAAGGTTTTTCATTTAATCTTTAAACTGTTTTTAAATTAGTTTTTACTGTTATTTTTATTTTGAAAAATATGAATTAGGAAAAACACGGTTAGGAAAACTATGTAACTAATATCTGTACTAAACACAGACTTCTGGGGGGACTCTACACATTTTTCCTCTCTTTTTTGATAGTTTCTTTCTTAAAATGTGGATTCACTTTGTCTTCTTAATTTCATTGTAAAACTCTGGATTTCAGGTGGTGTGGGTATGATAGTGTGTGCAACCTTCAACATATCACTTTGTTTCTTCCTTTGATTTTTCTGGTTAAAATGCTGGTAATAAAATATAGGGCTGTCTTGAGGACTAAATAAAATAGCATATGCATAATAACTTTATTACCTATAAGGAGCTCCGTAATGTTAATTGTATTTTTAGCCCAGATGACAATAAGAACAATGAAGTTAAAGGCTGGCTGCTTTCTCAAAGGAAAAGAAAAAAGGAAAACTATTATTACACTGGGCTTCCACATTTCTAAACATTAAAACAATAGAAAATGTTTGATCTATGAAATTCTTATTTGTGTTTTAAGATGGTAGAGGCAGGTTGAAACAACTATGTTCAAGGACACCTTAACATACAGCGAAATTTAACATCTGTGACTACGTTCAGTGTCAGAAATAAATTTAACCTTGAACATGGATGTGTAAGTAAATAATAAACCAGTTAACTACCCACCCCCCACACCCACCCACTGATACTCACATATTGGCAGTTACAAAAAGAACTAGCCAAAATGTCAACAAGTCAAATTTCTCTATGAGGTGGATATAAGGCGGGAATAAGGAAATCAGATGCCATTGAAGGAGCTGACAAGGAAAAGATATTTAGCAAATCGTGTGTCCTTAGGGCCTTCCCACCTTCTCTTTATGTCCTTGGTAGAGCATGGAATATGCTATCTGCATCTTTTAATACAGTGAAGGCTTTCTCTCAATCTCTCTTTCTCTTTCACACACACACACACACACACACAAATCTTTCATGGCACAAGCACACTGGAAAATGTTTTAATCCAGAGGCCACTCTGTTTAGCTTATCTTGGCCATGAAGGCCATGGCACAGATCTGTGTTCATTCGGACTTCTGTATGTTTTTTCTTACACTGTTGAGTTCCCTATTTTTTCCATCAACATCTACTCATTCCAGGATACAATGGAAACATACTTGGCATTACTGTATTCTTTCACTGCTCTATGGAGGAGTTTTCAGAAATCTAAAAATATTTCAAATGATTACAACCAGTTTTGTTGTTTTAAGGGAAGTCATTTTTAAAAGTTTATTTTAAACTACTACGTGTATTCTGTAAATCCAAATTACCCTGCTACGAGGCTTGGAATCTGAGGTCTAATAAAAGTATAAAAATATACAGCACTGCTGGAAAGTAATACTTACCAATATGGAATAATATAAGGAATCACTCCATGGCCACATATTGAAGCCACAGTGACAATGTGGCCATAGTTTCTCCTCAGCATGGATGGAAGAAGTGCTTTTGTGATCTTCAGGGTCATTGCAGAAAGAAAAGCAAAGAAACAATGACAGGTGTTAGGTTTCCAAATTAGGTAGTTTTATTTTTAAGACAAAATGTCATTTGACACAACTTTCGTGGTGAAATGAAATATGTGCCAAGATTCCAGGATTACTTCTAAACAAACAATAGAAATGAAAAAGATTAAAATAATTAGTTTCAGCTGGCATTGAGTGCTGTGCGTTGGCTATCACATGCCAAGAACTCATCTTAATTTCCCCTGCTTCCTTTCAGAGGGAATCAAATATTTCCTTTATGGATATATCATCTAAACAATATTATTAAGGGAAAAATCCAGAGTTTTCAGAACTGAAAAAATTCCCTGTGGTAATCTGGCATCATGCGATGGCTTTTGGTTTGGGGCTTTATCTTTTGAATGAGAAGAATTTAAAATCCTGTGTATCTATATCAAGTTGAGTAGAAAAAGCTGAGTTCTGTACTGACCCATGGTCACAATGCATCATAATTAAATTTAATTTCTCCCTACTTGTGATATTGTGCATTGTATGTTGATGTTATAGGAAACAAAAGTCTTTCTTTACCTCCAAAAAGCTTTACTGTTTTGTGAGAAATATCAATATATTTTATGCAAATTTTATAAACCCACCCTATGGACCCTATGCAAATTTATAGACACAGAACTGCCAAACCAAGCCACCCCCAAAATCCTGACCCACAGAAACTGTGAGAGGAAAACGAGCTTTTATTGTTGCTTTAATCCACTAAGTTTTTATATCATTTTTATGCAGCTGTAGATAATGAATTCATGGGGTCTCTATGTAGTTTGTTGGGCATAATAATCAATTCTCATTAGCATGTGTTAGGGGCTTGGGGAAATTGGGGAACAGATCTCTTTTTTTCTCCTTTCTTCCAGAATCAAGATTTGTCCTAAATTCTACACTAATATTGAGGCACGGGGAGATTAATTCATAAAAATGCCCTCTACAAGGGCATACTTCAGTCTCACAAAACCAACTAATTATAAAAGGTCTGTATATATTTCTAAGCTCCAGCCTGGATCTAGAGCTTGTCTCAGAATGTCATCCGGAAGAGTCCCCAACCCCTATACACACCCAAGTAATGAGTTCTGTTGTCCCTTCCATTCTGAAATTCCATGACATGAGGTCACAAGTGAATGTACACGATATGCATTTTTTCCAAAGCACTGAGAAGATGTCCGCTGACAATCCCTAGCAAAGCTCCACAAATATTTTTTGAGCACCTAGTACATGTCAGGCTTTGTGTTAGATACTGGCAGATAAGGCAGACTAACTAGACTAACATTTGATGAAAGTTGACTTCAGGCAAAGATTTGAAGTTTCCCATTCAGAAGGATGTGAACTCAATTATGAACTTCACTCACCTTAAGAGGAGGTGTCAGGAGATATACACAAACTAGGAATGTTTCTGACTCATACTCACCCAAAAATGTCCTAGGATGTTGACCTCAAAAGTCTTGGTGATCTCTTCATCCTTTGTACTAAGAAGGTCAGCTGGATATATTGTCCCAGCGTTATTCACCACGATGGTTACATCACCCACTTCTTTCTTTACCTTTTGAAATAGAAAGAACACATTCATTGGGTGTATTATAGAAACTCAAAGTTTTGAGGTTGATATCATTCCAGGATCAGGATTAGATTCTTTATTCTGTTTGATGAGAGTTCAGGCAGGAAAGACCTTTAACCCAAACAGTGCTTGCAAAGGAAACACTGTCATAAACCAGTGATAAACTGTTTTTTTTTAATATCTAAATTTCAGTATCCAATACATCATAGATTTTTTTAACTTATCAATAAAGTGAAATTAATATGTGTTGATAAATTGATATATTGGTTCTGACCAAACATTTAAAAAGTGCTAATTGAGTAATCCTGTTTTCACCTCCTACTAGGTACATGACCTTGATCTGCTATGTCAGTTCTTACCCAATATTTTAAAAGAGCTAATTGAGTAATCCTGGCTCCACCACTTACTAGCTACCTGAACTTGGTCTAGCTTAAACTGTCTGAATCTCAATTTGCTTATCTTTCAAATGAGGTTAATAGAGTTATTGCAGGGATTAAGTTAAAGGGGGCAATTGTTTATCAGAGTGCTTGGTTTGTTGTATTTGATATTTACTCTTAAAAATTGTTATAATTACTAATATTACATTTTCCGTAGAGTCTTAGATTGGCACCAACATAAATAAAATCCCAAAGAGGAAACAATTAAAGGGGAAATTTTTTTTTAATTACTGCAAAATTAATAGGACTAAAATGAAACTAGAAAGAGATTCTTTTCCCTGGTGATAAATCTTTTCTCTGTCACTCTATAGCACTGCTCAAACTTCTGTTCAGAATGAAATTAATAATATGAAACAATAGCAATAGGCAGAGTTGAGTGGATTATATGCCAGGAAAAAGTACATGTCCTTCTTTGTTCACACAACTTCCTCAACAGAGGCTGAAAGAAGATCTAATTTAAATCAGGCAGTCATAAAGAACCTTTTCATAGCCATGTAAGTGGATACAAAATTATGGGAAGAAATTTGTACCCTGAAGTCTCACCTGGTTTACAGAGTTATAAATCTCTTCTCTGTTACTGCAGTCTACCACAAACACATGGGTGGTGGCCCCTAATTTTCTGCATTCAGCTGCAGTTTCTTCAACACCGTGCTACAGTTGGAAAAAAACAAATTCAAAAGATGTAGGTCAGCTAGGGGACAAAAATGAGGGAGAAAGGATTGGAGAAGACTTTTTTTAAAGATTTAAATTCATGTCCAAAATGTCCTCCTTGTTTGTAAGCAAATTTCATCAGAGGCCCTGCTTCCCTGCTTCCCAGAGATAATACCTGGCTTTTCTGCCAGGGAATGCTCATATTAGTCATGTGTTTTCACCTTGTTTGCTTTGTTCTTGTAACTTAAAAACATGCTTGAAAGATGTTGCTCTTTGTGGCATCATGAAAGGAGACATTTGAGTATAGAGAAGAAAAGAAACCTTGACAATTCATATAACATATACTTGTTGAGCACTAACTATGTAATAGGCAGTAAAGCACCAAGCAGCAATTCTAAATTAGTGATAATTTTAAACTACATACCTCTGCCCATCATACTTTTCTTGATGATTCTGATTTAACTCTCTAGGAGGGAAGGAGAGGGAAGGAGTAGGAAGGATCTTATTCGAGAAAACTTTTCATGGGGAGACAATGTTACTACTCTTGGGGACATGATATTATATTCTTCAATTGTTCTGGAGTGAAAATAGCCAAGGGCCATTGGATGGATTCTCATCGATATTAACTACTTTGCACATAATTCCAGGACATGGAGACAGAGTAACTTCTTTTTAGTTTAAATTTAAAGACCTCTTTCCTAAGATAAAATTGCCCTAATGTTTCTTGACCTGCATTTGTGGAAAATTAGAATTCTTTTCAATTTTTTATTTTTATAGAGCAGATTTTAAAGTTTTCAAAATTATACTTTTTCCTCTAATAATTTGTAAACTCTTCCCTGTGATGAAGAGGTAAAGACACCCGAAGAGCCCTTTTTGCACATTGGCATATCAGTGGTGTGCTGTTATTTGGGGCGGTCCTTGAATGAGTGTGCAGTGGTTTCCTTAGCCAGCGCTGTCTCCCCCAGGTCCTTAGAATTTCACCACCAGGCTAAACCCTGGAGCAGCAGTCTGAAGTCCCGGAGAACAGACCCTCCTAGTTTAGGACACTCAATCACGGGAGCCATTATCCCTCATAGCCTTTTGGGGAGTTGCCAAAGAGTAAGGAGGGAGGACAGAGCATCTTTCGCCAGATTAGGTTTCAGATGGGAGCTTGCTCACTGCTAGACTACAAGGTTACACCCTTTTATCTCTAGGTTCTCGGTCAGTAGAGCACCCAGCAACAAGAGCCTTAGTCAGATGTTGAGCTAGAGCACTGCAAAATGTAATGCCTCGTCTTCTTCTCTAGAAGCAAAATAATTACTTTAGCTTCAATTCCAACGTGGTTGTTTACTCCACTTATCACAGTGTTGCTAAATCAACTGTTCAGATTGACTGAAAGCAAACTGCTAACATGACTTGTAGTGTAAGGCAAAAGCCAGCATAACCAAAAGGCAGTTGGCACCTTTCACAGGTAAAATCTGAGTTACATTTGCAGCCTTAGAGTGTATCATTTAATACCTTAAATGTTTAACCATAAAACTCAAGGACTTAAAGAGATCCTGTGAGGTTAGGTGATTTATCCTTTAGGCAGAATTAAATAAGTCATTTTTATTCTTATCACTGGAATTAAAAATAATAATAAATATGAGCCATCTCCCTCAAAACACACAACTGGAGAGATCCAAAGATTAGATTTCATCAAGCCTTTTTCATGAATTTGTACTTATTTATTTACTTATTTTAATAAGTGCCTAAGAACAGCAGACAATTTTCTTAATTTGTAAATTCTTGTTCTTCTCTAGAAAGCTTATTGAAATCTCTTCAAGGACCAAACCGAAACCAAAACACTTTCATGTATATCGGCTTATCCATAATACAAATGCCCATATCTGTTATATAAAAATGTATCAACTTTTTCTTGAATAGCATTCTTTAATGTCTAGAAAGAACTGGAGAACTAGTTTTCTGAATTCAAGAGACATTTTTGAAGGCCTTAAGATAATAGGTGCTAACTACACATGACACCAAAGAACATGAGAGAGTAGTAATATAATGGCAATTAAAATCTCATTGTGATATGTAAAAAATCTGATTCTCAAAAATGCTTGACTATTTTTTTCCAGTCTTAAAATCCTATAAACATTTATCTGTGTGTATTTTCATGGCCTTATCAGAATTCAAACGTTTAGGGGAAATGATAAAAGATTTCAGTTACTTCAGTTTTATTTTGAGTAGTTAATATTGTGTTCACAAATAACAGTACAAGAAAAATGCAGACTCTGCATGGAGGTTTTATTTAACACAATTAATGTCTACTATGGCCAGGCATTGTTCTAAGCACTTAAAATACTCATTCAATTAGTTGTTTTTTCTGTAAAGAGCCAGACAGTAAATATTTTAGGATTGTGTGCATGAGAGGAGATACTAAAGGGCTCTGTCACATGGTTCTTCTTTGTTTTTTTATTTGGTTTTTGATTTAAAACAACACTTTAAAAGTGTAAAAACAAACAAACAAAGCAACAACAAAAAACCATTCCTGGCTCAACAGGCTGCTCGGGGACCAGGGTTGGCCCATTAGTTGTAGTTTACTAACCTCTGTTCTTGCCCATCCATTGAGGTATTACTCTCCTTTCAGAGATGAAGAGATTGGGACAGAAAACATAAGTGACTTCTCAATTTAAACAGTTTGAAAGTAGCCTGGCTCCTGAGTCTATGTTATCAAACCTGCATATTGTGGCATGAAAATCACTGCTAAGGTCTCAGTTTGGTTTGTTCCCTTCATCAAACCATCCTAATGCACAGCATATGTAAAGCCCCAGGGAATTTAGTTATCAAACTTTGAAAAAGAAAAATACAAAAGTAAGCAAATGAAAAGAAAAATTTAAATACCTGTCTCACTTGTACCTTTAAAAGATGGGCACATGAATTCATTACCTTATTAATATCCCACAGAACCAGTCTGCTCTTCCGTTTTGCAAATTCATAGGCAGTGTGCCTGCCTATTCCATGCCCGGCTCCTGTAATGAGAACAATCTCCCCAGCCACAGATTTTCTCCTTCGAGGAATGAAAACCTTCACCAAGGATTCCAAGTAGGAGTAGATGATGATGATCAGAAGCACAAGGAAATCCAAGACAATATTCATGGCTCTGCTCTGTACTCTTTTCCTCTGGCTCAGTCTGGTCCCCGTCTAGTCCCAGCAAAGAGCCACCCTCTGCAGAGAGCTCCAGAGAAGGGCTGTATTCCAAGTGCTGATGGGACTAGCAGAGGTAAACAGTTGCAGGCAGACTTTGTCCACATGTTCTAGTGAGTAAGACACATCTTGAGCTTTTGAAATGAGACCAGTTGCAAATAAAAACCTGACATAGGGACAAGGAAACTCAAAAGAAAGTGCACTCTGGACTTACTTTCTGAGAAGCAGTTCTATATCATATGTTTCACTATGTCAACTGGAAAACAATGCACAACTTAAAGTTAAGAATTATGTTTTATTTGGTGGCTTTACTGAGAACTATCTCCTAGATAGTTCTGAGAAACTGCTCCAAAGAGGTAAAGAAGGAGTCAAGATATACAGGCTCAATATCACTAATTATCAGAGAAATGCAAATCAAAACTACCATGAGGTATCACCTCACATCAGTCAGAATGGCCATCATTCAAAAGTCCACAAATGATAAATGCTGGAGAAGTTGTGGAGAAAAGGGAACCCTCCTATACTGCTGGTGGGAATGCAGTTTGGTGCAGCCACTGTGGAAAACAGTATGGAGATGCCTCAAAAGACTAAAAACAGACTTACCATATGATCCAGCAATCCCACTCCTGGGCATATATCCGGAGGGAACCTTAATTCAAAAAGACACCTGCACCCCAATGTTTATAGCAGCACTATTTACAATAGCCAAGACATGAAAACAACTTAAATGTCCATCAATGGATGACTGGATAAAAAATTGTGGTATATTTATACAATGGAATACTACTCAACCATAAAAAATGGTAAAATAATGCCATTTGTAGCAACCTGGATGGCTCTGGAGATCATCATTCTAAGTGAAATAAGCCAGAAAGAGAAAGAAAAATACCATATGATATCACTCATATGGGAATCTTAAAAAAAAAAGACAAATGAACTTATTTATAAAACAGAAACAGACTCACAGATGTAGAATACAGACTTGTGGTTGCCAGGGGGGATGGGGGTGAGAAAGAATAAACTGAGAGCCTGAGATTTGCAGATACTGACTGGTATATATAAAATAGATAAACAAATTTATACTGTATAGCACAGGGAAATATATTCAATATCTTATAGTAGCTTACAGTGAAAAAGAATATGAAAATGGATATATGTATATTAATTTATGACTGAAGCATTGTGCTGTATACCATAAATTGACACAACATTGTAAACTGACTATACCTCAATAAAAAAAGATACACAGGAATTTTTTGGGGGGGGAATGGCAAAACATGTAGTCGAATATCAAAGATTACTGCTAATCATAAAAAAACAGACATCTTAAGTTAATGATTTAGTGCTTTTCTAGGTATGGGAAGATGGGTTCCTTGACATTATTCCTTTGCTATGCCCCTTAAGTATCTTAGGCCAATATCCTGTTTTTGTCTATCCTGAATTCCTCTCAGTGTGCATGGTTGGGGGCTACAGTGGCTGATGTCTTGATGGCCAGCAACATTCATTGTTTACAGATTGGCAGGCAACATTTTATTTTTTGTCCACAGCCCTGAAGTTTTACCTCTAGAAATAATTCTAGAGATAGTACATCAGCTAATGGTCTCTTGGTATCTCTCTGTAAACTATTTTTTTTTTAATGAAGGAAAAGGAGAAAGTAGAGATACTATCTTATGGAAACTAAGTATGGACTAGCCAAGCTTAGTTTGATTCATTTATTCATAAATGCTCAGCATCCATATTTCAGATAGCTAATCATTTTACACGAGATGCCCATTTCCCTGAAAACCTCTTGAGTTTGGGGGAGATGGTAGGTTATATAAAGCAATCAATTCTCTTTGTGATAATATAGGAAAGAGTATTAGATCAGGAGCCAGAAGTCTCCTACTTAAAAGTGGTGTGACTTCCAATACCCAAAAAGTAGAAACACTCAAGTGTACATCAATGGGTAAACAAAATGTGATATATACATACATAAGGGAGCAAAATTTACCACCCCAAAATATGTCTCCTTGGCATGGGAATTAATTTAGGTTGATTACTTTTAAGAAACAGAACACTCAGGAAGTCTTTCTTTTCACTTCCCAATAAACTGTCTGAAGATTTTAAATAAAGGGCCCGTTCCCAGAATAGCGCTATCACCAGAGCTATCTACAGAGTGTAGGCTAGGTGTGGACTCAGGGTCTTGAGATCAGAGTTCACTGTGTCCCATTGTCCCTGCATGGCCCAGTAAACATTTGTTTACCAAACATTTGCTTTCCCATCTCCATGTAAATTTCCTCTTTCCCCTTTGAAACCTCAAACCACTACCCTCCATATCCTCTTTTGTCTTTAGCTGAAGACAGTAGTTAAGGTGAGGGCTTCAGCCCATTTTGGCAAGTTACTAAGTTTTGCTGGTATACATGTTATTAACTTTTACTTGACTGTCTTCTGTTAATCTTTTTTATGCCAATTTAATTCTTACCCAGCCAGAAGAATCCAGAAGGGTAGAGGAAAATTTCTTCCTGCCTAAAATATACAATGCCATGTTATTTATCCTTAAAATGAAATGCAATTCTGATACATGTTACAACATGGTTGAATCTTGAAAACATGCTAGGTGAAATAAGCAAGACACAAAAGGACAAATATATGATTCCACTTGTAAAACCTAGAATAGTCAAATACACAGAGACAGAAAGTAGAATGGTGGTTACCAGGCCTGGAAATGGGGTTGGCTAGGGAGAATGAGGAGTTGCTGTTTAAGAGATATGGAGTTTCATTTCAAGGTGATGAAAAAGCTATAGAGATGACAGCCTCATGTAAATCAATGAAACTGGAACACTCTCTCACACCATATACAAAAATAAACTCAAAATGGTTTAGAGACCTAAATATAAGACATGACACCATAAAACTCCTAGAGTTCTAGGAGAGAACATAGGCAAAACATTCTCTGACATAAATTGTAGCAATGTTTTTTAGATCAGTCTCTCAAGGCAAAACAAATAAAAGTAAAAATAAACAAATAGGACCTAATCAAATTTAAAAGCTTTTGCACAGCAAGGAGACCATAAACAAATGAAAAGACAATCTATGGAATGAAACAAAATATTTGCAAACAATATGACTGATAAGGGTTTAATTTCCAAAATATACAAACGGCTCATACAACTCAATATCAAAAACAAATAAACCAATCAGAAACTGGGCAGAAGACATACCAACGAGAAGATGGCCAATAGGCACATGAAATATGCTCAATGTCACTAATTACTAGAGAAATGCAAAAACCACAATGAAGTAACATCTCATAGCAGTCAGTGGCCATCATCAAAAAGTCTACAAAAATAAATGCTGGGAAGGGTGCAGACAAAAGGGAACCCTCCTACACTGTTGGTGGTAATGTAAATTGGTGCAGCCACTATGGAGAATTTATGGAGAGTCCTTATAAAACTAAAATTAGAGCTACCCCATGATCAAGTAATTCCACTCCTTGACAAGAAAAAAAAAAAGGTGGAAAAGACAAAAACTCTAATTCAAAAAGATACATCCATTCCAATGTTCATAGCAGCACTATTTACTGTAGCCAAGATATGGAAGCAACCTAAATGTCCACTGACAGATGAATAGATAAAGAAAATGTGGTAGATATATAATGGAATACTACCCAGCCATAAAAAAGAACGAAACAATGCCATTTGCCACAACATGGATGGACCTAGAGAATATCACACAAAGTGAACTAAGTCAGACAGAAAAAGACAAATATATGATATCACTTATATGTGGAATCTTAAAAAAATGACAAAAAAGAACTTACTTATAAAATAGAAACAGGCTCATAGTCATAGAAGACAAACTTACAGTTACCAAAGGGGAAAAGAGTGGGGGAAGGATAAATTAGGAGTATGGGATTAATAGCTACACACTACTATATATAAAATAAACAATAAGGATTTACTGTATAGCACAGGGAACTATATTTAATATCTTGTAATAACCTACAGTGGAAAATTTTCTGAAAAATAAAGTATAACTGAATCACCTTACTGAACACCTGAAACTAACACAATATTGTAAATCAATTATACTTCAGTTTTAAAAAGCTATGGAGATAGATGGTGGTGATGGTTCCACAACAATATGAATATACTTAATGCCATTGAACTGTCCTTTTAAAAATGGTTAAAGTAGTAAATATTATGTTATGTATATTTTACCACACACACACAAAAAGTGGTATGACTTCAGGCAATCCTTTTTATTTTTCCTATGTGTCAGTTTTCTAATCTGGAAAATAAAGATAAAAATAAGTGCTTCTGGGTAAAATGCTTTTACCCAACACAGACCTTCACCACCACACACCGTAAGCTCAACATTCCTCACACCCACACACAAGGGGGTTATGAAGATTAAAAGAGAGAGCATGTATATGAAGTAGATTTGCTAGTAGTAAATGGTTATGAGAGAGGTGATTAGGAGGTTTACTGACCCTGGCTGATTTGGAAGGGAAAGACAGTGCCAGGCTGATGAAAGGCAGGACATTTCCCTTATCCCACAGCTGGCGCCTTAATTACAAGGACTTAGTCATACAACAGGACGATTTATGTTCCACCATTGCTGCATTAATTCCAAAGACATACCCCAATTTCTTTCTCTTTGTTCTCTTCCTCCCCCTGAAGTTTCAGTTTTAGGGCTGAGCTGCATGACAGAAGAGCCAGTAGTAGAAGATGACTGGCACCCCTGGAATGAAGATAACGGTGGCAGAACCTTCTGATAAAAGACCCTGCAGCTGATCGGGGGGCTGGAGCTGTCTCCACCAGCTGCCCACTAGAGTACTTTCTTTTCCTCTCTCTCTGAGCAATGAAAGCAACTCTTTTTTCACTTGGTCCCTCTCCCTCTATTGGGAATTCTTTCCCAGTTGGCGGGCAAGGACCCATACACTGGGGAGGGGTTGCCCACCTGTCTGTTGGGCTTTCCAATTTGTGAGTTCCTCCATCCACTAATAGTTATATAAACCAAATAATAATAATGGTCATTATTTAAATTTATTAAGCATTTACTATATGCCATGGACTTATTTAAGGGCTTTATATAGCAAC